TTTTCGGATGTTGTTGTTTCGTATTACTGATCGGTATTACCTTCAAGAGAAAATAATTATCAATTAATTATTTTAATATAATTACCTTGGATGCCCATTCATTTGAAGTTAGTTTTTTGACAAAGGATACGTCGGGGATTTGATATTTAGGCATATTAATAATTTTATGTGAATAGTCGAGTAAAATCAATGTAATTTATACCTTTCATTTTGTGAAGAGAAATCTTATTTTGCATATCAATAAAATATAATAGAAACCTTGATTATATCATCAATATGTATATAGTGTCTACATATTTTTAATAATCACGCAATTGAAACAAAAGCAACATCGTCTATTTCTCTGTTAATTGTTTTCTCTTTTGTCAGTTCGAATGTCGTTAGGTCTTCACATACTTTATACCACCTTTGTTTGCAAAGAATCAAATGAAATAAAAATGTTATATAAATTCTGATCAGTATTCTGTATACAATATGCATAGATTATTTATTTCAAATTTGTTGATGCAGAAGCCGGATTCGAATGTAAACTAATCAAAAAAAGACAAACTCAATTTGATCTGTTCAATTTTTTGCTTTTCCGCGAATGATTGAAAGTCAAAAATTAATGATGTTTTCGAGACGTACTTTTAACATTATTAAAGAAATGCATAGTTGATTTGGTCGCCGAATTTCATGTTATTTATTTTGAATAAATAAAAAACTAATCAGAACTCTACATACAGGTAAGAAAAAAACAAAAAGAAACAACTATAGGAGAAAAAGAATAAATTATAATCAAAGGGAAAGAGTTGAAGAAAAAAAGTACATGTTTTGGGTACCGGTGTAAGTATGAGTGATTTTCGTGTTCACTCATACCTATACCTTTGATTCATTATAAAGATTAATTTGTTGTTTCTTTTCTTACGATCACTTTATTCTAAAATTCAAAAGAAAAATCGTATTTTATTCTAGTCAAAAATAAGATCCTTACTAAAATATTAATAAAGACTTTTTTTAATTGTTTTTCGGCTTTTATTGCATTTTCAAAACTATTATATATGTAGTTTTTTACATATGTAAACTTTGTTCGTTTTCCTTCTTCATTCTTAAAAACAAAAAAAAATATAATTAGATTTATTTAAATCTATTAGTTTTTCTTACCATTTCATAAAAATCATTTTTTTGTAAACCATTATTTAGACATATGATAAATTTATTATATATTCTTTCGATGTGCATGTTGAAGATCTAAAGTATGAAATTGTAAAATGAACAAATCTCTGTGAAACAAAAGAGAGAGAAAGATATGATTATAATTAATGTTTGTCTTTTAGATACCAAAACAGATTGAAAAAGTCAGACAAATTAAAACTGCACTTTTAATCGGGATAGAGTAATCACGTTTCTTAACTTAACTTTGAGTTAATTCATTTTTTTTCAATCTGTTTGGGATTTCCATCATCAGAGGAAATACTGAAACATAAAACGATTTCTTTCTTTTAATAGATTTTGGGTGACATCGATCGAATTAAGTACAGATTTGTTCGCATGATACATAATTATTAACTAATCGATCGTAGTTACTAAAATCAAATAAATATGAAGGGTGGGTGTGGGTGTAGGTATAGACGAACAAGGTCAAGCCACATCTACACCAACCTTAACCTTAGTGATCGAGTAGTATCTTAAACTAACTATAAAATCATGTCATTATTCTTGTGAAAATAAGTAATACTCTACTCACATACTCTCTCTTTAACTTCAACCAAGATTCCTATCTGACATACGGTAAACTAGAAAATGAGCTAGATAGTTTCGTGAAGAATATTCTAGGAATGTCTACATGAATATATCGATGATTTTGTAATTAGAAGATCAAAAGTGAATTCATATAGACATTCGTAGAATTTCGGATTCTATTTAACAATCCGAGTATATCGTAAAAACTAGAAAATCGGTCTTTATTTTTAGTATCTCCAATAATAATATTTGTTGATAGTTCGTATATTTTAGTAATTTGTTGAAATTTGATTTTAATATATGTACAATATCTCTATTAAATGAATTAGAATGACCGTTGATTTCACAAATCAGCTATTCATAGAAAAAAATATAAAATTAAATTAAAAAGAAAGAATTTACTATTATGTGTAAGTTTATACACAATTAATTAATTCACGAAGTACAAGAAAAAAAATTTATCGATTCGCTATAGCTGTTGGCGGTGATATAATGAATATCTAACATTATCGACTGGTTTTTATACCAACATAGGGCAATGATTTTATGGCGACATTTACTTCAATAATCTGCGAAGAAACAATATTGATTTTCAAATTTAAATATTATAAGTCGTAAAAGTGTCATATGACACTACTCTTGCGTATAAATATCTTCGTGTATTTCGTTGATATGAGAAAACTGATCAGTTACTCACGTTGTTTTTACACTCTACATTCATTATAAACGACACAAAAATAGACGTACACATCGTCGCTTCTGCTTATCTGCTTGCTTGTTTTTTTATTGAGAGAAAAGACAAAAATCGTCCTAAAACACATTTTCACATGTAATTATGCTCGTTTATTTCGTTAATGTAAGAGAACTGATCAAATTACTCACATTTCTTTATCCGCTCTACATATAAACCACATAAAAACGGACGTATATATCGTCGTTTCTGCTTAATTGCTTGTTCGTTCTTTTCTTCAGATAAACGACAACGAGAGAAAAGAAAAACGATCGTCTATGCATCACTAAACCGTGCAGACAAATGTATATACATGCATCTGCTCTTTACATATTCATTTAGTTATTTATTTTCGTTAAGATTCAAAACAAATATATTCGACTGTTTCTTTTTCGACTCCGATTGTGCTTAGATATTAATTCACGGTAAATACTACTATACCATTTCCGTTTAGTATCCACCATTCGAACGATATTTTTTATCATGAAACTTGTTCCTCTATTAAGATGTAATGTAACTATGTTACTAGCTATTGAGATTCGTTTAAATCATCATATTTATCCATTGACAATACATAGTGCATTTTAACTAGAGTAAGAGTGGATAATAGTTCTTTCTGAGACTTCACACTATCATGAAATGTAACAAACAAAGCCTCTCACATAACATCATAGCTGGCTATTCCTAGACTACATTTTCGATCATCGTTAATTATACACCACTGTTACCTTCACTATGTCTTCTTTGGATTAAATAGTAAGTCAGATTCTATATCCTGTGTGACTGAGTTCTCAGTAAAACTGATCTTCACATTCTTACTACTATTGACCCTGATTGAGTATTGAGTCAGATTATGTACAAAATTTGACTGTGAATCTTGAGGGTATGGTAGTGCGTGTCTGTTCTTCGATCAATCAAATCAACACCCACACCTACCCTCATGATTGGATCACCTGAATATCGTAAGCAACCGAACTTTGTTTGTAATATCGACTTGAGTACAGGACTAGTTTTTTTATTGAGATTTTTATCAATTCTGTATGTTTTTCATTTCATTTAGACCCTGATACTCACTCTGGTAATTATCCACCTCGAAATACCAATAGCTCGATACCGATATTAGTCTTGTTATATTTACCGTCGTCATTGGCGGGTTTATCTTCAAACTTCTCACCTACTAATCAAGCGAAGTTTTCGCAATGACTCAACCAAGTCAGCAACTTCGAATTATTGCACAACCCAAAGCACTCTATCGTGAGCGATATGACAGCGAACAATATAAAACTGGAAATCGAATTCAACGTTATATTCGTGCTGAAGATAACCAGCTGAAGCTCGAATATCCAACTATAGAGGTGAAAAGAAGCAATACTAATGTCAATTTTGATTATTACAAAGGAGAAAAGTCAGAATTTCTCTAGAGTTTTGCGGGACATTCTCAAATATTTTTTTGGACTAAAAACTGATGTCAGGATAATACGAAAAATTTCGGGACGGGATAGACGAGATTCGTGTAAAAACGTAATAAAAGGTTGTTCGGAAGCATTATTTAACTGTGACTTTTGTCTTTCATATTTCGAATCTAATGTGTACTGCTAAAACATAGAAGAGCTTTTTCTTATTTTTCTTTACTAGATATCAGAAGAGTGGCGTGATGGCATTCTACCTCAATACATTCGCGTGACTTCTGTTACTGTGCCGAATGATATGGAATCCATCGTATGTGTGCATCCATATCCGATTGATTCTGATGATTCTAGCGTTCAGAAAGATCCAGCTAACAACGCTCTATACTTTCCGATCACAAAAGGCGATTTTACGAACGGTCGAAAAAGGTACTAAAAAATGACGCAAGTGCTTCGTTATTTTGCTATTTTGATTTGTTCTTCAGTCTCCTCGTTACACGCAAAAAGTTGGTACAAAGTGAACTCAAATCACACGGTCCTCTGCGCATAGCCGGTTCCGGTAAGAATATAATAATAATAATAACAAAACTATTTTTTCTTTTCATTTGAAAGAGCAAAGACATATTCTTGGTATTATTAAAACATCACGCAGCAAACAACTAATTGAAACGTATAAATTGTGGAAATCGCAACTTGTTTTTTCTCGAGCCGAACATATCGGCGATGAAGTATTTAATATATTCACTGAGTCTTCGGTATCATCACAGGTGATAACCGACGAAATCAAACAGAAACACAGTAGGTGTATAAAAATAGCTGTATTTATCTTATTAGTATTTTCTATTTTCTTTTCCCAACGAAGATACTGCTGCTCCGGTCGTCGCACCAAACGATCATAATGAAAAATCGGACGTATGTGTACCAGAAAAGGGTAGCTGGACAGGTGGCGATAAGGTTTTGATGGTACTTCCTAAACTAGATCCGAAAAACCGTAATTTCTATTTTCATTTTTTGTTTAATATTTTTTTCTGCTTTTATTTTGAAGAACTTTCTATATATTTCGATTATGTGGAATTGAATCAGAAAAAGACTATTCAATACGAACTGGTTGATACGAAGACGATCGCGTTCCAGACACCGGCATGTCTGATGGACCCAAATGGGGAAGATAGAACGGTTTCAATCGTTGCTAAACAGAAGGAAAAGATCATTGCAAAATTCAATTTTCTCTATCTAACACGTAAGTGTACCACTCATATTTGAACTAAACTCATTATTCTTGTCTAGCAAGCATCCCGCCGATAACAAACGTATGCTCGAACTGTCAGAGACATATGTCATCCGATTTCGTCTGCTCAAATTCTGATGATATGCTCGTGGACTAAGAATTTTATGCGCAGCAACTGTCTAATTCGAGTTATAATATAATTTAAGCAACAATTTACTATAATAAAATATATGTATTAACCGTAGACTTCACTCAAATGTACTGTGCACTCTATAAAAAGATGTGTTACGGAACGTGAAAAAATTCTCTCTAGCGAACATGAGAAGAATCGTTTAAAGCTTCTTATATAGAGAGTCTCGTAGCAAACCTACTATGAACAAGGTCCCGAAAAGGGTTGCGCAGCAAGGGTTTCGCAACTGCCTAACTATTAAATTCTCTTATCTATTGAACGAACGAATATGAATCAAAACTTTCTGGGCAAATTGTTCGCTTATTTTTGTCTTGCATGAAAGTAGCGTATGCGAGTCAAAAACTATAGAATAGAGCTAAAAAATTTTGCACTTTTCGAATATGAACTTAATAGTTTCGTGACTATTTTTTTTCGAGAGTAAAAAAAGACTCTTTGAAAGAGCTAAAAAAAGATACGGACGACAAACAAACAAGTTTTTATTGATCCTTATAAAGTCTGCTACGAAGATGTCAAAGGAGCATCAGATGTGATGGTACTAACGAATCAATCTGGAATGAAAACAGGCTCAATTCATTGCTCTTGACTCTTGTTTCTCTGTAATTGACTTTAATGTTCTTTAATTTCTAAATATGTTTTCTTTCTAAAATAAAAATGGGTGAGATAGGATGCGGGTATCGGTGTAGGTATAGACGAACAAGCCCAATTCACATCCACACCGTCACCTACCCTCAAGAACTTCCGTAACACCCTTTATGTTTCATAAAGTTTTGTTTTTGTTTTTCTTATAAAACACATGTGATCAACATTTACATCTAATAGATTGATAATAGTTTCTTTTGAAAAAAGAACGTGAATTTTGTTGAATAAATCAATCATAATATTTTTCGTTAGAAAAACAAAAAGGATTTTACATATTTTTTTCATTCTTCACTTTCTTAAGAGAAAAACAGGTATATCATATAAAATGTTTAGTAAACGTATTGTTTGTTGTACCTTGAATAAATATACATATGACTTCTATAAGTCACTTTTTTTTAAATATTTTCTAGAAAAAAACTGTATTGATAGCATCTTGTCTTGATTTTAGTTTTATTGTGCTACTTATGATATTGTAGAGATCATGAGTAATTTAACTCGTCGAAATAAATCAAAACTAGAACTTCTTCCTGATGAAATTTTCTTAGAACTATTTTCATACATCAAACCGATTGATCTTTATCATGGTTTTCTGAATCTTAATTCACGTTTAAATAATATTTTAAATGATACTTATATATGTATACATATTATTAACGATGACGAACATAAAAGTGATCAATTATGTATAAATTATTTTGCTCAACAAATAATTTATCTTGCTATTGATTGTCATTGGACATGTTTATCTTATCCTATAAATCTTCGATTCTTGACTAATTTACGTTCACTTCATTTACCTATGCCAACTGATGAACAATGTTTAGATATTACACCAACTAATTTACCATATTTAACTAATTTAACTATAAATGATAATGTATTTAAAACAACTTTATTTAATATAAATTCATTTCCATATTTTTCTACATGTTGTATTCCACGTATTTATTCATCAATGTTAAATACAATGAAATCGAATCAATTATGTTTAACATTGCATTCTCTTCAATTAAGTTCTTGTTTAATTCATGATTTATATGATATTCTTCCATATTTACCAAATTTAAATTATTTAGAAATTGTTTTACAATCAAATAATCGAAATATTCAACGAGATTATATAAAACATAATAAAATATCTCATTTAAAAATAAAACTTCGAAAACTTGATCCTGATTTTGAAATTTTACTAAAATCAATGTCTAATCTTCGTCGAATTGAATTCTTATGGAATAATTCTTATCAATGGTATAATGAAAGAAAAAATTTTAATTTTAATAGATTTTCTGATATAATTAATGAAAATAGTAAATCATTACAACGCCTTGATATTGATATTCATGTTTCAAAATGTGATTATGATATTAATACTATTCATCATATAAATTTACGATGGTTTTCATCATTATCTATTATAGAAATTTATAATGATAGATCATTTTTCATTACAACGAAAAAAATATCATCGAATCCAGAAGATAAATTAATTACTACTATATTACAATCAACATATATGGCACAGAGAAATGCACGTTTCAATCGA